TATTTAAGTGAACTTAGGTTCACAAATGATCCTTTCTACCAGCTGTTCTTGACCACACCTCTTGGTATTGACTTTCCCTGATTAACCATTTAGAACTTGATTAACTGGAATCATAAGTGAAGATCACTTATTCAAGGTCATTGTACTTTCACACGATGATCATAACTGCCATTTGTTAGACGTAACCAAGGAAATGATGTCATATTGTAAAAGAGACAATGCTCTAACCAACCGTGCTACAGAACCTCAAAGTGATTATTGTATATACACAAGTTGCCTTGCCAATATTTGGAAAGACTAAATTGGCCATGTTTTCAAAGAGGAGAAATCAGCTCAACCATGATATACTAAAAATAGAACACATGCGTGACTTGAGTAGGACAATTGGTAGGACAAATCACTCTTACAACTGTTAAAGTTGTGCATTATATGATACGCAAACTACCTCTATGACATCATAGCTGATCTCTCTTTTTGGTTTTTTTGACATTGGCAGTGATATCTTTAAATTATTTTCAGTACAACCTGATCCTGTAGAAAACCTATCAGTCATTAAGATTAATAATAATAGTACTTGTCTAAAAGCTCAATGGACTCATGGGTTACAACATAGAACCAGAAAATATCAAGTTGTTATTACTTCTGAATTTGATGAGATACCGATGGTATGTTTACATTTTACATTGTTTCAACTTACTCATTAACAGCACATGATAATCTTGTTGATAGTATACTTCTGGATCATAGTCTGAGCACATGCTAGAGGCGGGACTTAATTTGTCAATCGCAAATATCTCTGAAAGCTTTTCCATGTTCATGCAATCACTAAACAGCAAATGATTTTATTGCTATTTTCATGTGCATGCTAGAGGCGGGACTGAATATGTCAATCATAAAACAACAAATTTCTCAGACAGCTTTGTCATAGGCCCACTCATGCAATCACTAAACAGCAAATATTTTTAGTTGCAATTCTCATCGACATGCTGGAGGCGGGATTGAATATGTCAATCAGAAAAGAACCAAGTTTACATGTAGCTTAGTTGCAGTTCTCATGCACATGCTGGAGGCGGGACTAAATATGTCAATCAGAAAAGAACCAAGTTTACATGTAGCTTAGTTGCCATTTTCAAGCACATTCACTTGTTATCTGTTTCAGGTGAAGTTATTTGATAAACAGAATTACTATGAAATCTGTCATCTCATACCATATACACTGTATACTATAGCTGTTAGTAACATACCAAGTTTAGACGGTATAAATACTAAAGGATTTTTCAGTGATACGGTAGAAACATCGGTTAGAACACCTGAAGACAGTAAGTGCACTTTAGCTTTTTCGTTGACTAAAAGTTAAGAATATAGAATCATGCCGACATCTTATTTTGTCCTTGAAAAATTGGAAATGGAGTTGCCTCATTCAAAATTTTCCATATTGCACACTTCATGGTGTTGTCTGTCTTCATTAGCCCATGTTATTCTAAAGACACATGGACTTTTTGTTGAGCAAACTATACTGAACTTCTTTTTACACAAATGGCCGACAAAAAAGGAGACGATTTAGCTTTGAGCTCTGGTTTAGATGGTCTCGTTCACAACATCTTATCTTTTTAAGTTCCGTCTGGTGCACCTGGTCTTTGTTCTGGATGTTATACTGAGAGGATGTGTGAGGAAGTTAATTGTAAACGAAACATACAGATTTATTGGAAGGTAAGAATGCATTGCATCTGCTCTCATTATGCTAGAACTATTAAAATGGAGGGAAAGATTTCCTTTTTTTTTGACACTTTGATTCCCGTTTTGTTGTTGCCAAGGGTGTTTGATTTCTGCGTTCTTTTTTCTCATGAGGTGAAGGCTGTTTAACCTACCTTAAGTTATAAGGACCATTATACATGTATAATAATGAGGCTTAAAAGGTTTCTAAAGCTCTTTAAAGGAATATTACCTCTTAGAAAAACATAAAATTTAAAGACTCAAACTTGACCAATAAGATTATACAATGTAACCTGTGATATCCGACATTTAAATATTCTGACATTCTGCGTACTCCAACATCATTTTCTGGTCCCGATTGATTTCCTTCTTATGTCAGTTTGAAAAGCTCTGAGTACTCTGTCATTCTGTGTATTACAGATTACGACACTAATCAGAAAAATCTGTATAATCCTACTCATCTTAATCACTTTTCGTCAATTAGATAATCTTTTGTATATTCAACAGTGGACTTACCTGGTTTTATTTTGGTCAAGTTTAAAAGTTTAAAGGAGTCATTTTCTTTTTCAAAGCACAGTAAGACTTATTGTCCATCATTGAACACTGCATAGCTTATTTTGTCTCATAACTTAGGATGTAAAACTCAATATTAATTTATTCTTTTATATTATAGCCTGTAGATCCCCGCCTCCAAAATGGTAAAATAACAGGCTATAAAGTGGAAAGTTTTAGTAAATCTGATGGTGAAAGAACAACTATAATATTACATGACGGCACCGCCACATCTTTTACCATTTCCTTGGTAACAACAGCTCAACATCTAATCACCATAACAGCTAAAACAAGTCGTGGATTCTCGAAACGAGCAGCAAGACTTGTCATTCCTGCTAAATCAAATAGTAAGCTCTTTTTATTTTTTGGGAGGTAATGTTTAACTAAATGGCAGATTCTTCAAACATTTTAAGTTTCTCTAAATGGCATCTCATGATGGTTTCTGAAACAAGCAATATTGTGAGTTCATGCAAACACTATCCTGTCACTCTACCAGCCACATGATTTCATGATTATACCAAGCGGCCTACCAAAGCAACCGTTACTAAGTGATGTTGATGTTTATTTTATTCCCACTGTATATTCAAAGGCTTAATGCTTATAGCTTCAAATTATTTACATACAGCCTTGATGATATTTGATATCCATGGTTCTTGAAAACGAAAACTAAGCGTTTTATGAGGTCACTATCTCAAATGGCATTATATTGTATTACCAGTTTTAGTGATAGTCACGTCATGAAACACTTAAGGTGTGGGCACACAAGCGGTCTTGGTCGAAGATTTTTGTCTCCGACTCGAATCTTGAGTAAAATCTGGGGTGTGCCCGTGCTTCCATGACAAGATTATCGTGTCGTGACAGGATTTATAATATCAAACAAGTTTGATAATTGTCCCTGATAGTTTTATTGCAGACATTCATCATCCAATCAGATTCAGTTTCCTTTCAAATGCATGCTTTGCACCTGATTATTGACATGGTGGAAAACGACCGACTGGAGATGTTTGTCTCCTTGTGTGCCCTTGCCCTTGACAAGACTCTAATCGGCGATAAAAGTCTCCGACAAAGAACGCACGTGTGCCCACACCATTTGTTACAATTGAAATACAAAACCCACCTGACGTCTGATTGAAAATTGGAATGGTGCAAATCATGGTACACATTCTTTACAATCCCTTAATCTTTTGTAATGTAATTTTTTTTTTTCAGCACCAGAACCAGTAAATGATATACTAGTAGAAGCTGAAACTGCTACCAGTTCGAGTTATATTATTGATTGGTCTGATCTAGATACAACTAATATATATAACTATACAGTACACTACTGTAAACGTCAAGATGTAGTTGTTGACTGTAGGGTAAGTTTATTTATTAATTGTTAAAACAATAGGGTTATAGATTTAAAGATGGCTTTCCACATTTATTAGTATTGCGTCGTATTCCCTTGGAATTAGCTAATTAGGAGTTAAATAAACTGGAACTGCCGTCCAATAAATGAATATGAAATACCATAAGGCCTGAGAAATACCATAAGGCCTGAGAAATACCATGAGGCCTGAGAAATACCATGAGGCCTGTGAAATACTATAATATATTGTGAACTTGGCCAGTGCTTTACATAGAAGTTTTTAGGAACTTCTTCACTCTTAACACTATAAGGCCTGTGAAATACTATGAGGCCTGAGAAATACCATAAGGCCTGAGAAATACCATGAGGCCTGAGAAATACCATAAGGCCTGAGAAATACTTTAAGGCCTGAGAAATATTATAAGGCCTGAGAAATACCATGAGGCCTACTTATGACAAAATTGATCGAAAGTTTTTTTTATAAAATGGTCTTTGCATATGTGCAAGTTTATCCAAGTAAGACAAAATTCTTAGCAATTTATTAAAACATATAAATGGCATTAACATTACAAAAACACTATTTTTCTGTTTCAGGATGAGATATCTTGGATACATTTAAAACCCTCTGTAACAGAGTATATATTAAATCTAAGCAAATCAGAGAGTTTATATCATATTGGTATATCACGAGAAGTTAAATATGGTAATGATACACTCAGTAGTGGTATTAAATGGAACAAATGTGTCTATATCAAAAATACAAGTAAGAAATTTGTGATTCTTATCACAGTCTGAAAAATACAATGATAAAATACTTTAACTGTTAAAACAGTGCTCAATACATCAATTGTAGATTGATATAGAAATATTAAAATGGAACCTGAAACATGTTTGTGAATATACAATTCTATGTTTTTCTGCTCTTTTGTTGTATGACTCCACATGTCATCTATGATCTGACAATATTGTAATGCAACATGAGTTCTAGGTCATTAGATTATTCAACCAATCAAATAGTCTGTTCAATTAAAGACCTTCTTACTTCTTGAGGAATTTGTCTCATAAATACTCAGTATTTATTTTTCACATTTGATAGTTTATATCCACTTCAAGCTTAAAGATTTCAATTTTCTAATTTTCAGAACCAAAGTCAGCTCCTCCTAATGTACGTTTCCCTGATATCCAGCCTGATCAAGCTTTGATTATAGAATGGGATCGATTAGATTGTGTAGACAATGTAGCCTTTATCAAGGAATATTTGGTACAAGTTTGTCCAGTCAAAAAAATAAATGGAAATTGTATAGGTATGGATTATTTCTAATGACAGTATTTTGATAGCTTCTCAATTCTCAGGAATTTTGATCTCAGTAATCACAGCCCTGTTATTCTACTCTTCAACGATCCTGATAGTCTCAGTTATCAAAACCTCAATCACCTTTGTCTCAGTGATCAAAACCTCAGTCACCATTGTCTCAGTGATCAAATCCTCAGTCACCTTTGTCTCAGTTATCAAAACCTCATTTACCACTGTCTCAGTGATCAAAACCTCAGTGTTCAATGTTTCAGTGATCAAAACCTCGGTGACCGATGTTTCAGTCATCAAAACCTCAGCTACCACCGTGTCAGTGATCAAAACCTCAGTCACCACTGTCTCAGTCATGACTGACTGTGTGATCAAAACCTCAGTGACCATTGTCTCAGTTATCAAAACCTCAGTGATCAAAACATCAGTGTGCCACTATTTCTCATACTAAAGCAAATTTTTGCAATAATGTTTTTTTTGTTATATCATTTCAGAAAAAGAGAATAATATAACTGTACCAGAACATATGACCAGTTATAGAATAGATGATTTAAAGCCTTTCCAGATGTATAAAATAATAACTAGAGCTGTATCTTATAGCGGTCTAGGTCCACCTAGTGAACCTATTAGTCTAGAGGTTGTTGACAACAGTAAGTAGGCCCATACTCTTCAATGTCTAAATCTAAGAAGGTTAAAAAATGAGGTCTTCACTGCTTGTGGATGTGGAATATTTCAGTCGTATTGTGTTGAATTGATTCTTGCTATGAATTTGTATGTTTCTGATCAAACTTGAGTAATGCTGATATGTTAGTGGTCTATTTTCAGCGGGGAGTTAGTTCATTCTGCTGCTTTTTGGACTGCAATTTGCAACAGCCTTTGACTTCATAAGATGGTTGCCAGGGTAACAGAAGCTCATTGAATTTTTAAATTGTGTAAATAAATTAATCTTAATCTCTATATTGCAGATTTAAATACAGCTGAAATAGCAGGTATTTGTATTGGTGGATTATTTGTGTTAGCTCTCTTATTGTTTGCTATATTTAGATGCTATAGGTAAGTTACATTACTGTTTCTGCTTCTTTTAGGGCATATCGTTATAGCTAAATGAGATCGTTGCTCCCCAATGATGAGCTTTGTGTCAATACTGAAGGCCTTTTTACACACTAATTTAATCCACTGTGTAACTTGCTTGGCAAGAGTTCAAAATTCTCGAGTGTCCCATATGAATATACCAAGGTTGTTCAGATGACTCTTATCAATTTGAATCCATTGTTTTCAACTATGACTCTTTATTATAGATGTACTCAAGAAGAGAAGAAAAAATGTAAGAATCTTGCGGTTAAAAGTTATTTACCACCCTCCTTGCATGGAGAGCTACATGATGACTCTTACAAGGTAAATAGAATAGATCTTTTTTTTCTCTTAGCATAAACTAACTTCAATTAAATAGTCATATTAGATTTGTAGGTTACATAAACACTTAACAATCATTGAGTATCATCTACTCTTGTCATTGCTTAACTAAGAAATCGTGTGCACAAAATAACTCAACAACTTGCTAGTGGAATAAAATTTTGGATAGAACTACTTGAAAGGAATTCAAAAGGGGTTTACTGACTTGGTGAATCAAGAATGCTTCATACCTGTTATTCAAGAGGAACAAGTATTTCTTTATTCAATTATTTGGTTTGAAAGGAAGAAAAAAATGGAACCACATTTGGTGCAAATAGAAGCCATGATTTTCTGGCCAAAAGCTCTTTGGATTTCTTTGTATACATGCTTTTGGATAATAACATAGCTTTGCCTAAGATTTATATGCTTAATAACATGATCACCCCATCGCTTATGTATTTCAGCACTTTAAGAATCGGCCATTACCACCGACGCCACCTGTATTTAATATTCCTGGTATCCATGACTCGGGTTATGAAGCCAGTATACCTGTACGTTTGCTTTTTTCATTTTTTAAATTCATGAACATATGAAATAACACATGAACTAACATAGTTTTATCAGATAATTTTTGTGTGTGTGCTTATTTTGAGATGTTTTAGCCATGGAGAATTATTTTGTTGAGTTTAGCTTTTATTAACTAATTGTATTTCTTGAAAAAGCATCTAGTTCTTCCGATGGGACATTAAACCAGGGCTCTGTTTTCTACCGCCTGTGCACGTTAAAGATCGCTCGACAGTCAAAAATCGAAAAAGCTTAAACCGCTGTCCTGAAAAAATTTTCCTCATTGCACACTGCATGGCATTAACCCAATTAGGTGCAGAAGAGGAGGACATAAAATTCCATATAATTCATTTCATTTCAAGATGAACAAGCAACCTTGTGCACAAAATCTGTCAGAAAATTATGAGACATTAAATATTATGTCCAATATTATCAAAAAATCTGAAAACAATTTTTCTCATCTTATCATGATCTGTATGAAATCTGAATTTTGTATTTTTCAGCAATATGAGCCAATAGGAGAAGAAAGAGAACAACCAAGAGCAACAACAACACAAAGAAAAGGCAATGACAGTATTACATCTGAATCTTTACTTATAAATAACATGGAATCTCAAGATTTTTTTGATCATCATAAGGATCCATCACCTTATGCTGTTCGTGATGTCACTAAAGTACAATGTGGAAATCGTGATACATATCCTCGTGATAATGATGATTCTACAGGATTGAACAGTGAGTTGAATTCTGGGGAGTCTAGGATAGATAGTTATCATCAGATAGGTCGGACAGTTAGTGAGGAACCCACGTTGGATAGTTATCACCATGTTGGGTTGAATGACAGTGGTTGTGACATGGTGGACATTAGCCATTTTAATGATTTAAATAATCCCATTACACCTCAAACATCTCAAATAGTGAATTTTGTGACCAGACCGCAAAACATGACAATTGGTGCCGTAAAACCAGCACGTAAAAACATTGTGCCTAAGATTTTACCAACTGAAAATAGTGACACAAGTGACGATTATTGTGATGGAAGTTATTTGCCTCATCAAATTGTGAATAGTCCCATACATGAACGCAAACCTAGTATTGTATGTGAATTGGTGTCCCCAGTTTCCCCTACAGGTGATATCCATAACACACAAACATTACTGGTCAGACGTGCTGACCCTGAGCGACCACTCAGTGCGTACATGCATCAGTTACCTTTACAATATTTTGAAGATCCCAATCAAGATGAAGGAGGTCCGACGACAGAACTTTAATTTAGGGGTCATGTGATATAAACACTGATGTTTAACCTTTTTAACACTAGTGGCCACTGAACTGCACTGTCTAAGAAGCAGCTATTAACCATGTTGCATCACATAACATCATAATTATATTTGTTGTGTGATGTTTTGTTTTCTGTGACGTAGTGTGAGAAGGGTTACAAAATTTCATAACATCGAGATGATCTAGCGTATGTTTTGAGACTTAACCATAGACCAATTTAATTTTGAAGAGCAGACATCTTAGAAGTTATGATCTTTTTATTTCATCATCCTAAATCTTGGATCAAAATGTGCTAGTTATTGTTATTTGTTAAGTTATATTTTAATATTTTATTCAAGTCCCATTTTTGAATCAAATTAAAATGCATATTATTTAGAATGACATACATTCCGATTATTATCAACATTTCCTGTCAATCTTATGAACACAGTATATAGTCAATCAATGATCTATGTACAATGGGGTAAATTTCTGATATCAAAGAATAACAAATGGTATCATTGTAGACAAGTTTTGACTAGCATGCTTTCAATTTTCACTAATTCGTGTCCACATGTAGGATGTTTAGAAACATTGCATGTTCTTTAATGTGCAAGAAGCTTATTTGGTTCTTGATTCATCGCTTTTTTTCTTGGGAGAGAGAAAAATGGAGGCTTTTCTTTCAAGCGCAATGTTTCAATCAAAATCAGTAACATAATAAAAATAACGATTTCTTTCACTACAAGGCAAGAGGGTATATTTCTGCTAGCATACTCTATAATGGCATCTAATTTCAGAAATTTAATGAAAATTCCGAACCAAATTATATGTCTTCTGACTGGTTTATGGTCCACGCAATTGGTAGATAGTAGGCCTACTAGATACTTCTATAACCTGGGATCAAAATATATGTCTTTTGAAAAATTGGAAACTAGGTCAAGACCTGTTTTGAAGACAGAATTAGGCTTGATATTTGCTTGGAACCTAGGCTATCTTTTTTGTTTAATGAAAATTCCATTGTCCAGACTTGTTATTTCTTGAGTCTTTGCCATATATAGAGAAGACATATTATAGAAATAGAAAGAGAAATTCCTAGTTTGAGATATTTTTATGCAATTTTTGTGCATTTCTAGTACTTCTGAAGACTATTTACATATATTCAAGACCTAAATCAACCCCCTGAAAATGGTGAACCTATCCCTTAAAGAGACATTCCATGCTCGGTCATAAAGATCTGGTTTACTTTGCATATATTCTGGTGCATTAAACACAAAAACACAAAAAGATAGCCTAAGATTACTCATAGACTAATTTCCCATTGTGCCAAATTCATTCCTTTACCTAACTTATCCATTTTATGGCATTCATCAAGTAAATAATGCATTCCATTAACAAATTTTACATAAAATATACAATTATATTTTTTTAGTATTATTTTTTTTTTAATAGAAATAGTTTTTTTGTTTTGTCTTTTTTTTTCATTTTTCATTCTTCATTCATCATTAAATTGGGCATAGAAATCAAGCAAACTAAAATTTTTGTGGTTGGCCAACTATCTAGTAGCTTACTTATGAAAGGGCTTTGTAGGCTATTTCATATATTTTCTAGTAGACCTAGTTTGAAATTTGTTATTAATTTGTTATACAAGTGTATGTATGTAAATTGTCTTTTATAGTTGTTAAGTCACATTTGTGCACATTTAAAGGGAAGATACAAACATAAAATTTTGACATATTTTTAGTAATATAAGACAGTGTTGATGAACAAAATTAAAGTCAATTATGTTTTTTTCCTTCTAAAAACCCAAAAAGGCTGATTTTGTTTATATTCTGAATTGGCCACAGATGTCCGTCAATACATCAAAGGTACAAAATGTAGAATATCATACAATTTTGTAGACCAATTTGAACAAATTTTTGTTATAATTCATAAAGTTTGTACAAGATATGGTACTATACAAGATATTGTATAAAATGAAGAATGAAGTTTAATATTATTAAATTATGGTTGTGATTTAATATAAAGATTGTATATATATTTAATATGGTTGTGAATATTTGTATATCTTGCCGAACCTGTGCTTCAGTGTTTTGTATATTAGATGGTTGTGTATTTATACATTTCATTAACTAGTTTATTCCATCGTATGCTTATTTCATTTATTAATGAAAATAAAACAATGAAAACTTAAAACTGATGTTTTATTTATTAAGAGCATATTAAACCAGTTTCCAGATATTCTTATGACCTCTAGATTCATTTCTCAAATCAAGCCCAACTTTCTCCGAAAGGTTCCAACCTTCCCTTCCCCGATATATTGGCATTGATGCAGGGTGATAGGCCTAACGGGTAGTCTTAAAAGTATGGCAGCAGGCTGTTTTGATCACAAGTTGGAAAACAATGAATAGTAGCTTTAATTTAAAACAAACATCGAAAATAGCAGACTGTCTGAATCACACAACTCTCTTGAATCTTGTCAGACTTTCACCTACTCTCGCTGTCTTGGCAGCAACACAAATGATGCTCTTATAAAAATCTAAGCAATTATAATGAATGAGCTACAACCCACTTTATCTAGACTACCATTGCAACTGGGTAACCTTAAGTGACTTTTTATTGTTCAAAATTGTTGAGTAGATGATTTATGTAAAATATTTCATTTCCTTATTTGCTTTAGAGCAGTTTTAATACTCATGAAGCACTGATTTTATACACAATAAAGTTGAAATGTGGAGGAAATTTCACAATCAAGCAGAATTTCTGCTTTAATCGTGAATGTGGCGATTTGGTACGTCCGATTTGACTGAAGTTGGTCGAAAAGACTCTGCAGGAAAGAACTTCGTCCAAGACATGATAATCTCCCTTTAGCAGATTTGTAAGCTTCCGGTTTAAAATTCACGTGTGTTTGTTTACATTTTTGAGAAGCGAAATAAAGTATCATAATGCAGGTTTCCAATCCAAATGACGTTAAAATCTACAATCTTAGTGCTGGAAAGTCACTTCCCGAGGTAAAGTACCTGTGTAAAATGTTCGAAGAAAATATATTAAGATGTTTTAATACTTTAAAACGTTTTTTATTTCAATTCAGCAGAGCGATCGAGAATGGCATTTCCATTCTAATTGTTGATACCACAAAGCTAAAATGCTTTATGATTGACGTTGTCACAGAAGCAACGATTTTCTTCACTTGTATATAGCCATGCTATTCCAAACAAACTCCCCTTTGACATTAATGGCTCTAACGCTAACAAAAAGCCCAATCAGTTGGAGAAAAGTGTTTTAAAACTCCATTCATTCATTTTGTTTTCTGGCCAAACAATATCTTGTAGTTGTATTCCTATCTTTTGATGATTTTCAGTGGCTGTCAGAACGAAAAATGAGAAAATTAAAGAAAGACAATATAGGTAAGACATTTCCACAAACATGTATTACAAACATTTGGGAAGACTGCTGTGTCATAGGCTACTATGAAAGTTAGTTATAAATCATTGATATGATAAAAAAAAATAAATGCAAGATTATTCTTTATCTTTTTTAGAATTCCAGCGTAAAATTGAACTGATTCAAGATTTTGACATGCCAACAGTTTCACATAGAGTCAAGGTTACCAAAGATGGAAATTATATTTGTACAGTGGGTAAGTTATTTGTGAATGCTGTGCTCTGTCAGTGTCATGTGCACCCCCACTTCTACCACCTCTTTATTTTTGACAAATTAAAAAAAATATATGTGCAAAAATACACCTAATCAATCCAATTTTTCTAAAGTTTTTTTGGAAGAATCCTCTCAGACGATCTATCAGAATAAATGAGAGTAAATTTAATTAATATCATGCCTCAAACACGTATTCTAATCTAATTTTGTTTTGTTTGTAGGCACATATAAACCTAGAGTCAGATGCTATGATGTACATCAGTTATCTATAAAGTTTGAACGAGGGTTAGATGCTAATGTTACTCAGTTTATTATACTATCAGATGATTACTCAAAGGTTTGTAGCCTCTCTTTATTACTGTCGGAGTGAATATAATGTTATGCTTGTGTTTTATGCAGAATTTGAATTCAGGCTGTTGTGATAAGTTCTTGATTTATCAAAAGTATTTGAGTTGACTTATATTAAAGATGATGCCATTTTCATAAATATATGGATCGTAAAGAGGTTTTCTAAACTTTTCATGTGTATCAGGGACTTAAATAATCAATTTCGCACAATATTTTGATTATATACTGTTGATAACCTATAATGGATGAAAGGAAAATGTCATTTCTATGTTTATTATTTTATTTGTAGATGGTGTTTCTACATGATGATAGGTATATAGAAATACATGCTCAAGGTGGTAGATATTATAGAACTAGAATACCTAAATTTGGTCGTGATTTAGATTTCCACTATCCTACTTGTGATTTATATATGGTTGGTGTCAGGTAAGAGATTAATGATAGTGTCAAGCTTAAAACTCTGATCTGTGCAAGTCATGCATGATCATTCAATATGTCAATCAAATGTCTCATGAAAGAGTAGGCACTTTCTGCTCACAGCTGTAGTATCTTTGACTTTGGCTTAGTCCGATGACCTTCACTCATAATTCCAATCGTCCCAGCTGTAAATGGTTACAGATAATTCGAGAAAGATCAATGCCAAGAGGTTTGGACAAGGACCCGCTGGTAGAAAGGATCTTAGAAAAGTTGTTATCCTTGTAAAATATAGTTGTCTCTTTCTTTTCTTTCTGTAGAGTGACAGGGATACAAGAAATAGTGGATCCAAGCTTATCCCTCTTATAAAGGAGCAATAAGTCAGAATATATTGTTTAAGGTTTATATATTATCTTTCAGTGATGAAATATACAGATTAAATCTAGAACAAGGTCGTTTTCTAGCTCCATTAAAAACAGGTGCAGAGTAAGTAGTAACAAGTCATACCTTATTCGATTGATTGGAATATTACCTTATTGAAATGATGTAATTCTTATAAAACACAAAATATCTAGTATTGATTAAAGATATTCTACTATAGCCCATTCAATGTAGTTAGAACTTTTCTAATTCAATGATCATTTTTTTGTAGAGAAATGTCTTGTTGTCAGTTTAATCCAGCACATTATTTATTTGCTTGTGGATCAAAACAGGTAAATAGTAACATGTTTCAGTGCTTTATTTAAAATGTTTATATTTTGAATGAAAACTGGTACTTCAATGACATTTAAAGGTTGCAACCTCAAGAAAAACAAAGATTGAAAAAACTTAACTTTATGAAAAGGAAGTCTCAGGCTCTTTAATTTGAATTTTTGGCTATATTATCTGTGTTATTTCTTTTTAAAAAAAGAGTTTCAATTCAAGGGAAGTTATTCTCATTTTTTTAGGGTACAGTAGAATGTTGGGATCCAAGAACAAGAATAAAGACTGGTGTTTTAGATATATATAAAACCTCTCCAAACACAGAGTAATACTTTGATTAATACTTAGTATTGATTTTCATATATGTGCTGTATGTTAAAGGAGAAATTTGACCTGTATGGATATTTGTATACAGAAAATGTTTTGAATGATATAATAAGAGAGAGCTAAATGTTCAAATTAGACAATAAATCAAGGCTGTGTGAGCTATTTTCATGATAAAACGACAGTTGGGAATAGAGAAAGATTAGGCTATAGCTGCTTTCCTGGGTGCTCATGTTATCTGACTGCTTGGTTGAAGACTACTGAACTCTGTTAAAGTGTTAATCATAATTTTCAGATTTGGGGCATCTCCAGAAGTTACAGCCATAAAGTTTCGTGATGCATTAACAATGGCCGTTGGTACACAAACTGGTCATGTAGGTATTTTTAGATTAATTGGCGTGGAACCACAAAGTAAATAAGACCCTGAGAGCACATAGAGTATTGGGATATACATATTGGGATTTGTTTTTTTTGCGTAGAATTATGTGATTGTGAAACCCTTCTAATAGTTTACGTCCAAAATTTGTTAGGACAACTTTCCATCATTTTCACAATGTCAAGGTATTAAGAACTTTGTCTAATACCTTGACATCATGAGAAACTTTTTTGGTATTGTAAATGCAGCAATTTAATTGGATTGTACAAACAGAAAACATCCAATCAGAGCTCTCAATTAGTAGTTGTGAGTGCATTTTGTTGTTTACATGAAACAGCTGCATTTACAAACTTATGTGGTACAATACAAAGTGCCTATTTATGTCAAGGTATTAGACCTTGAATTTCTTATGTCTTCATCTGTATTATGATTGTTCATATTTGCATGTGAATGTTGGAACATGCCCCGAATTCTAATTGACTATGAAATAAAAAAATGGCATATACGTGGTGTGTGTCCATTGTTGTTTTTGACTATTTTTATTGAGTTTTTATCATTTTCCCATTTCAGATATTACTCTATGATTTGCGCTCACCTAAACCATTATTAGTTAAAGATCACCAATATGAATTACCTATTAAAAATATTGAATTTAATCATCAGTTAGATTTAGTGTTTTCAATGGATACCAAAATATTAAAAATATGGGAAAGAAATACGGTAAGATCATTTAAAATTCAGACTTCTAATAGACGGTAGATCTTGTTTCGAGACAAAATTTGAGGATCTCACTAAAAACATTTCTTTTTATTCATTAAAAATTAAATTAAATTAATTATTTTACAGGGTAAACCATATACAGCTATAGAACCTGGTTCAGGTTTAAATGATCTATGTCTATATTTTACAGGGTAAACCATATACAGCTATAGAACCTGGTTCAGGTTTAAATGATCTATGTCTATATAATGATACAGGATTATTTTTTATGGCTAATGAGGCACCAAAAGTATTAACTTATTTCCTTCCGGTAAGTATGAGTAATAGTCATTAAAACATCATTGTAGATTCCTTGATATTGTCTTGTATTGCTACCTGAATCAGTTAGAAGTTTCAGATCAAAATAACAAAATCTTTTAAGAAATTTGGTAAGTAAAGCTACAAAATTAGTCTACAGCCTTTTTCTGTTTTTGTATAGGCATTAGGTCCAGCTCCTAGATGGTGTTCATTTCTAGATAATTTAACTGAAGAACTAGAAGAAAGTGAAAGTCTAGTAGGTAGGTAGTGAGTAGTAAAGATTTATGATAGATATTCACCCACAAAACTTTGAACATATAAGTACCCAAAACATGACAATATTGTGATTGGACATAGGACAGCAACTTATAGCAATAATTTTGCTGAGTTTCTTTCACCTGTAGGTAAAATTTAAACGAATATCTCTTCAATCAATTTGTACCCTGCAAAGCTATTCAACATGTATACAATATTTTTGTAATAAAAAAATTATTTAATATTTACTTATAGTTTATGATGATTATAAATTTGTATCCAGACAAGAATTAGATGAAATGGGATTAACTCATTTAATTGGTTCTAACTTAGTTAAAGCATACATGCATGGATTTTTTATGGATCTACGATTTTATCAAAAGGTAATTTTTTGATATTTTTTATTATCACATGCAGTGTGTCATCAGGTAAAAATGTTGTGTGATTAGTCATCCCTGATAGATCTGAAATTGGTTATGGTAATAAGTTATGGCTTTAAAAGAGTCATTAATGTTTTAAATAATGTTAAAATTAGCAGGATATTGTACATTTCTGCATCAAACGGAACCAACTTTATAATCTCAAGTAGTCGTGTTATCAAAGAGTGGAAACCCCAAGACACAATAATTCAAGTCATTCTCCCTATTCTTGGTTAGGTTATAAGACCACCATCAAGGTACCATCAAATTGGTTTTATTTGGCTTGAAAATTACACTTTGGGACATTAATCTGTTATGGTGCATATCATTTGTGATTTCTGGTGAAGTATTGTTCTCTCTCCTATCTTCACATTGAAGAGCACCAAGATATAAGGTTTGAAAGATTGTCTAGTTGTGTCAATATTATTTTGAGTGAAATTTTGTTTTCAGGCTAAAGCATTAAATCAACCATTTGCCTATGAAGAATATAAGAAGAATAAAATAAAAGATAAGATTGAAAGTGAAAGAAAAAGTCGAGTACAAATTAAGGTAAGTAGTGATATCACATTTTACTGTTAATTTAAAACCAGTTACATATAATAGCTATTTGGTGCTTGCATTCATAGAAGATGATTTGAGGATGCAGTATTACTTAAATGTGTGTTCATAGGTAGGGTCAAGAATATTCAGCAAAGTGGGCATATCTTACTATGGACAACTATCTTCAATTTTTCAAAAGCAATAGAAGAAATATTTAACCTTGATTGATTAAAAAAAGGCTGTGCAATATATCTTTGAATATGTTTAAATAAATTTACAAAAATAAGCCCTTGTTTAAGAAAACTAGTTAGTATAATTTTTAATTGTAGAAATTACCACAAGTTAATCGAGATTTAGCTGAGAAATTTTTATCTGAGGATACTGAGAAGATTAAAGATAGGAAAGGAAAGGTAGGATACTCAGAAGATGTTGGTGATAGTTATCTGCATAGACTGAATTCTAATCAAAGATCAGTTTTGTTGCAGTACACTGCATGTTGAGTGTATTGCAGATTTTTACTGCAACAAGATGTCTTTACTCAAAATTTTAGATTTGTTGAAAATAGTAGAATCATAATTACAAGTGTTTTTTTTAACTGCATCTCATAAACCACTTTCATCAATATCATATTTTAAAATATATGTTTAGTAGAGGCAAACATAATTTTTGATGGTCTCTGCCAATGGAACCAAACAAAATTTCTTTAGATCTGCTAGTAAAGATGAGTTTTTAAGTTTCTGATTTATCATGTTTTTCAGGCTGTACCTAATCTATTAAAAGATGACAGATTCTCAGCTATGTTTAATAATCCAGATTTTCAAATTGATAAAAGTGCTCACGAATATCGTCTGGTGAATCCTCTAATAACTAAATTAGACAAATCACGACAGAAAAAAATAGCTGATCAAAAACAGATATCAGAACAGTTTAATGAAGTAGAGGTAAGTTCTAGCTGGGTGAACTGGGTCAAGTGGATATAATTCATTAATAAATCATAGCTCGTGTATTTATTTATATTCAGACACCAATGATATTTTATGCTAAATATTCAATTCCGCAAATATTTGGCAGTATCAAAAATGTATTAACATTTAAAGCTATTTTTTTAAAAATATTAATCTGTCATACTGAGAGAAGAAATGAAGCTTTGGTGAACAAATTTGAAGATCAGACTTCCCTTTCTCAAATACAAATTGATGCTACTGAAGGGTCTCCCTGAACCATTCTATTTTGCTGTATAACCTGTATTGTAACATATTTTATAACCTGTATTATAACGTGTATTTTAACTTGTCTTGTAACCTGTATTGTAACTTGTCTTGTAACTTGTATTATTGTAACCTGTATTACAACCTGTATTGTAATCTGTATTACAACCTGTATTGTAATCTGTATTGTAACCTGTATTAGTGTAACCTGTATTATAACCTGTATTGTTACCTATCTTGTAACCTGTATTATTGTAACCTGTATTGTAGCCTGTATTGTAACCTGAGTTGTAATCTGTCTTGTAACCTGTTTTATAACTTGTATTATAGGAAGTAGAAGGTAGACCTAGTGAAGATGACAGTAGTAGTAGTTCAGATGATGATCGTACAACTCGTATTGAGATGAAGAAACAATATAGATTATTAAAACAAGAGGAAAGAGACAAGAAAAATGTTGAAGAAGTAGAAGAAATTATCTCTAAACCTAAATTTTATGAATTGAAAGATGAATCTCAAGGATTTAAAGTGAAATTATCTAAAGAAGAGAAGAGAAAGAGAAGAGAAATGAAGTAAGTTCAGTGAAGATTAAATATTAGGTTACGCTTAAGTTCTGCTTGCTGGAGAATCATGGAATCCAAAGTAGGTTCAATGAAACAGGTGGAACAGAGTTCAAAATGCATTCCCTGTGCACTGAAAAAAGGGAATAGAGACAGAACAAAATGGAAAATGGAAAATGAAATGGAGTTTTACGTCCTACTTTTCTGCATCATGTGGGCTAATGAAGACGGGTGCAATGAGGGAAATTTTGCCAGGACAGCGGCATAAGCCTGCTGTTTTCCAACCTTCGAGGGATCTTTAACATGCACAGCCTGTAGCACACAGGGCCTCGGTTTATTGTCCAATTCGAACGACTAGACGCTTTTTCCATGTCAGCCCCTCTTACCTGCATCACTGACAGGGGGAAACCGGGTTGAAAAATCTGAAGTTGTTGTCTCGACCTATGCCGGGGTTGAAACCTGGACCTTCAGGTTAGCGAGCGAGTGAGCATCTTACTGAGCCACCACTCCCAGAACAAAATGGCAGAGAATTGAAGGGTAATTATCAACTGACCTATCAAGTGCCACCTAAGTGAATTAGTAGCTTGAAAAACTCAGAATACAGATATTATTTTCTTTATTAGTTGTTGGCTTGAAAGAAGGATACCTCTAAATTCCATACAGTTATATGTTTGTTTTATTGTAGGAGAAGTTTAGCAGAAAGACTAGAACTAGAGAGTGGTAAAGATAGTTCATCTGTTAGTAAATCAGTAGGCAACATGGAGATGACTTTTAAACTGAAAAAGGTAAGATTTCTGGCTAATCTAACAGAGTCTAGTGCATCATAATTTGGATATTATTGTCAGGACTTAAAAAATTAGAATTCAATGGATGGCCACATTCTTGGTGAGGCAAGATAATTCCGTTAATCAAAATCTTGTGTAAAGAATGATAAAATCTGGAGTAAAAGTTATATAGCAGGGACTCGTATGGAAAGTAAGCATGGTCTGCTTCACGCACGATACCCACCTCTACTTTATAGATCAACAGCATGAGATACAACCAGATCAATTCATGCCTGACCCAACAAATCAGCCAAAATGAGAGAAGCAGATTTATTGTATTTATCTAGTTCTCCTGAATGAGTTATAAATATCTAAACAAAAAGCTTTGCTTTAAATAAATAACTTTTAACGCTATGAAATGAATAATTTAATACACTAATTCATTCCTCTTTTTTTTATCATGCAGAATGAAAAACAAGAATTTCAAGAAAAGGCACAGAAATATCATATGGATGAAAGAAAAGAACTGGGAAGATCAGCTAAAGAAATTACGTCCAGTTTTAAAAAGAAACCTAAATTCTGGAATAATGAAAGAGTGCAATAAAAGTTATTTTATATTAACTCTTGTGATTAATTTCCTAGCTATTGTCAGTAAAGTTACTGATGTTCACAACATACCCAAATACCAACTCTGTAAACACATAATGACTCAATCCAGTTTTTAACTGGAGCCAAACAAGCTTAACTTGTTAAAAGCATTAGTTCACAGATGCAGTCATGCTACAGATTGTACCACAGCTCTTCTCTAAAGTTTGCTTCGAAATGAACATTTTACGATGGTCTAGAAGTTAAAAAAGGAAGAAAATGCTGATGTATAAAATATATATATAATTTTCTCCATTTACATATAACAATGGCATGTAGTTGAATTAGTACATAGGTGTATATAGGTTATGCTCAGATTAGTCTTGTAATAGAAAATGAAACAACAAATTTCTCAAAAACCAGTCAAAATAATAGAAGTCAGAAAAAACAAGAGTTAGAAACATATAAAAATGTTGAAAATAAACAACTAACAATATGAGATTCTGATATAGAATAATTTTCATAACAAACCAGGTATAAAGATATAGAACGACAATGTATATTATAAATATTATGCTGAAAAAAAATATTTAGAATTAAAGTTCTACTATTGAGAAAGATGCTAATAATATATAAGCACTAAGCAGCTGTGCAATAGTGACATCATGAAAAATTTTCATGCCTGAAGGTCTATAACATAACAATTAAAAATACTTTTCATGATGTAAAACTGATGAAAATGACCATCACATACATATGAATTAGAAGTATTAAAAGCTTTGTATTAAATTTGATATAATCTATGTAGGATATATAGAAGCATTAAGAATCATTAAGAACACAAGTTATATGGATATACTATTTCTAGTTTTATTACATACTAGGTTTTGAAACACATACAGGTAACGTTATCAAGTAAAACGATTAACAACCAAACAACACAAGACATATAGGGAAATCAATAGAGGCCATAAAGTTACCTGTATGTGTTTCAAAACGTAGTATGTAATAAAACTAGAAGTAGTATATCCATATAACTTATGTTCTTAAATCTTAAATGTATAAAAATATTACTGGCATCATCAAAATTGTTCTTATTTGTCAAAATAGGCTTCATAAGTTAAGGTTCATTTTGTAAAAAAAAGAATTTTCACTGCAAAAATGTTCAGTGAAGAATGATGATTCTCTATCAATACCGGTATAAGATCATACATAATAACTTTTTCAAATTAATTTACCACACCAAGTTCTTTGCCAATTTCAATAAAAGAATCTACTGCATGATCAATTTCTTTTGAACTATGTGAAGCAGAAATTTGAACTCTGATTCTGGCCTTTCCTTTAGGAACAACTGGAAAACTAAAACCAATAACATAAATTCCTTTCTCCAACATTTTATCAGCAAACGTGGAAGCTAATCTTGCATCACCTAACATGACAGGACAAATAGGGTGTTCATTATCACCTCCAATAGTGAAACCTGCTTCAGTCATTCTCTTGCGGAACTGTTGAGTATTTTTGAGAACTTTCTGTGGTAAATCTACATTTTTCATCACCAAATCAAAAGCTTTACTGGCACACGCTACGACAGGAGGAGGGAGGGTATTAGAGAAAAGATATGGCCTGGATCTTTGTCGCAACAGATCTATTAACTCTTTTGGACCGGCAGTATAACCACCAGCAGCACCACCTAAAGCTTTACCAAGTGTTGAGTTGATGATGTCCACCCGTCCAGTCAGTCCACAATGTTCTTCAGTGCCACGACCAGTTTTACCAAAAAAACCTGTAGCATGACATTCATCAATAAATACTAAGGCCTTGTGTTTGTCAGCCAAATCACATATTTCTTTTAATGGAGCAACATTACCATCCATACTAAATACACCATCTGTCACTATCAAACGCTGTCGACTTCCTTTAGTTTTTATCAACAGATTCTCTAAATCGGCCATGTCCCGATGCTTGTATCTCAATCTTTCTGCTTTACACAGTCGAATACCATCAATAATGGAAGCATGGTTTAATTCATCAGAAATAACAGCATCTTCTGGGGTCAGCAAAACTTCGAATAGCCCAGCATTTGCATCAAAACAACTTGCATATAAAATGGCATCATCTTTTTCATGAAATTTTGCAATTTTGGCTTCAAGGTCTTTGTGAATGTCTTGAGTGCCACAAATAAAACGCACAGAACTTAACCCAGCACCATGGGAATCTAATGCCTTCTTTCCTGCTTCTATAACCTCTTCATTAGCTGATAAGCCGAGATAGTTGTTTGCACAAAAGTTCATTATTGGTTGCTGATTTCCTTTTACACGAATTTCAGACTTCTGTTTTGAAGTTATGACTCTTTCGGCTTTCCATGTCCCTGCCTCTCGAATACCATTCAGTTCATTAGACAAAATATTCTTAGTCTCGGCCAATGAAGAACTCAATCTTCCGTTGGTTGAAATCCATAAATTCGACAGTAATTTCGCATTATTTTGCCTGATACAAGCATTGAATAACAAGGTGCCTACCATATTGAAAAGATGAAGTTGATTATCGAAACAGTTTTATCTGCAATATACTACTAGATCTTCTGTGTCAGCTGGTTCTACTAATAAAGATACTCGTACACGGTTAATTGCTCAATTTCCTACTGTTCTTTGTTGACAATAACTATTAATGTATACTAAATATTATCACCTATATCATAAATGGGAAATGTCGACTGTGATGATGAAATCATGCATCACAAAACGAGTTCAACCGATTTAGTCTCGATCGGTCGGACGCTATTTTCCGGAAAGTCTCCATTATCCAATAAATATTGTTTAAAGTTTTACCACAACAATCTTGTACTCCCAGTCTCGGAATGCTGGCGCTGCTACTGAGACTTACAGAAGTTATGTGAGTGAAATAACATTATTGTTTGCTATGTTCTGCTGGGTTTACTTTTCACTTGTAGGTAATAAACTGTAAAAGATTGTTATATTGCTTATTAATCTCACTCGTATACTTAATTGGAGTTACTTTTCCTTTATGGACTATGTTTTTCTATGATGCGTATGAATACAAGAAAGTAGTACACACATGTATGTAACCGCCATGATGCATTGATGTCTGAATTTGATGATTAAAGTTTATTTGTTTATATTCGATTCTTCCTGTCCTGCTTATGCTACGCTTGGCCGTCCTTACGATACAACAAAGATGTTACAAGGACATGCTCATTCCAGAACACCCTATGTCACTCTCTGTGTTTTTCAGCATTCAGCTAAACATCTCTCGCCTCCTGTGAAAACTGTGGTGGCTCAGTGATTTACAGGCTTACTCGCTAACCTGAAGGCCCAGGGTCAAGTGGCCATACATACAACTTTGACAGTATATTGATCAGAACTTGGGTAGGCCACATACAACTTTGACAGTATATTGATTAGAACTCGGGTAGATCACATACAACTTTGACAGTATATTGATTAGAACTCAGGTAGGCCACATACAACTTTGACAGTATATTGATTAGAACTCAGGTAGGCAACATACAACATTGACAGTATATTGATTAGAACTTGAATAGGCCACACACAACTTGGACAGTACATTGATTAGAACTCAGGTAGGCCACATACAACTTTGACAGTATATATTGATTTAGAACACAGGTAATAAAAGAAGAAGAAAAGAATGACATAGTTTATTTATAAATTAATGTTTATCAAGTCTACATATAGGATTATCATAAACCATTTGAAGATCAACTTTAGGTCCCACTAAATCTCTTATATTGTTATATTTATATTTTATCATAGTAGGTCTGAAATAAATAAATAAAACAAATATCAAACTTGGCCCTCTTTGATGATTTTCTTCAGAGAAATTAATTGTAATGGAGTTTCACAACCTACTTTTCTGTATCTGATTAGGCCAATGAAGACAGTCAACGCCATACAGTGTGCAACAAGTGAAATTTTGCAAGAACTTTTATTTCCAACTGTTAACAGAGCAAAGCAAGCACAGCTAGACAAACTAGATTTTTTTCGATGTCAGCCCCTAAAAACAAGACATTATGAAAATAAAAAAAATTTTCTGCTCTATTTGGGCTAATAAAAACGATGCTGTGTGCAATGAAGGGAACCTTTCTATCCCAATCTCTTTCTTTTCTCAAGAGATGTCTCTTTCAAATGAGTAGAAATTTTTTCCATTGAAGTCCCTATGAGCTGCTACAATGAGTGAGATCAAATGAAGGGAACTGAAGACTATGAAATACCTTTCAGTGGAGAGACCCCAGGCTATGACTGATACATCTTCAGGTAATCCCATTGGTAATAACATTTCTGGTCTAAATACACCAGAGTTACCTATCTCTACCCATTTCTGTAGACCTATCATAATAAAAATTAAGAATATTCCAAAAATATATTTCAGGTTTATGCCCAGAGACAAATAATGCATAAATTTCATAGAATTTCAACCCACTTTAGTTATTCTATTAGAATAAAATCTATAAATGGCCGCAGAACACATAAAAGTTGAGAAAAACTCTTCACAATCCCTATAAACAACTAGTTTAAAAATGAAATAAATATCTTAGCTTGTTTTTTGTAGACTACAAATTTGAATAGAAGTGAATACATTCATGCCTTTCTTACCTTCATGATAGGAGAATATTTCCATACTAGGTTCTGTATAAGGATTATAAGCTGGTTTAAAACGTAACTTGGTCATACCTGAAATCAAACAAGTGTAAACAGTAACAGAATGCTTTAAATAGAAAGAACTTAAAGCATGGGTCATGGGGTATTGAGACATTCTCATTGTTCCCAGAGGAAATAAAACAAATTTGTACTTGCCTAGTTTTTGAAAGAATTCATTTATTGTTCCCATTAAATCTCCCAGAGTTAAATTTCTATCAGCAACAAGACCTTCTATTTGATGAAACTCTGCTAAATGTGTTGAATCTAATGTTTCATTTCTGAATACTCTATCTATAGCAAAATATTTAGCAGGCTTGAAAGGTTTCTGAAAAAGAAAAATATAGAAATTTAAATCATCTTCGAAAATAGCACTTTTATCTAACCTTTTAATTTTTTTGGATAAGCATTTCCCCATCCTACCTTTCAGCACATAACTGATGAAGACATGCAGTTTGCAATGAGGAAAATTTTACCAGTACTATAGCAGAATCAGCCTACTCGTTTTTCAATATTTCAATAACGTGCAAAGCTATCAAAGCACCCAAGACAATAATTGAATTTCTAGAGCGTTATCAAGGAAACAGGACAGACAGACGGACTCATATGGGTGCCAACAATATCTTCTCAAAGAGAGATGTTTTGATATAGAAAAAATCAGAGGCATGAAGGAAACTAACCTGTTGTGCTAATTTATATAACATTCTAGCACTAACAGCTGTTGTATGTGTTCTTAATATATTTTTCTCTGCCTCCTCTATATTCCATTCACATTTATAACTAAAAGAATAACAGAACAAATTTCACTACTAATTCTTGTTAGACATATAACTATAATGTGGAAAGAGTTTTACATCCAGTTTACTGTGCTTATTATTAAGGAAAGTGTAGGTCATGTAGAGTTCAAAGAAAGAAAGTTTGTTAATGAATCTTAAAATTATCAAACATAATTTTTCATGACTTTTTTCACTAACTTCTTCCTTCTTCATGGCTACACTGCTTTACCATGTTGGCCCTTCCCATTCTCTATATAGGTCAGAATGTACTACAAAGAGGGTAGAAGCCTCCATTAAACTTACCCTTGAGAACCATAACCCCCTTCAGAATGTACTTTCTTTACTCGTTCTAAATATTCCATAGGAAAACCTGATGCTGATTTAGGATCTAAAATGAAAACAGTTTGTTTTGAATTATATAGCCTCTACAAATGAAAATTTGTTAAAATTCAAATCATAGAATTGTCAAGCTAAGGAGACAAGTTACTATACATAATATAAAGTATGTACTTAGTATATTGTACTATAAACAAAAGCAACTACTACAGAATTGTGCCACAAAAAACTATTAAAACTTGCTTTATCTCATTTCTTTACCTGATACTAGTATACTTAACAATTGTGGCAGACAAAATTGATGGTTAAATTCAGGCTGATAGAAATCATTTATATGTATATCTTTGTTTTTGTTCTAAAAGTTTGCTTTACCTGATACAAAGAAGGTGTCATGAGCATCTCTTGCAGGATGTTTCTGTGGTTGGAACAGAGCATCGAAGTTCCAGAAACTACTTTCAATGAAATTGTTGGTTGGCATTTCAGTGAAACCCATCTCTAAAAATATCTGTCTGAATTGTGTTCTAACTTTCAGTAAAGGGTGTAGATAACCACTTTGTGGAGGAACGCCCAGAGCTTCGAAATTATATGGTTTGAATGTTTTTGTTTTCCATGAACCACTGAAAATACAGAAATATAATAAAATCATTAAACACAGCTATTATACTGCGTTATACAGATCGTCACATGTTTTAGAAATTAAAGGAAACAAATTTTGCAGGTAACAAAAATCACCCCTAATTTTATAAATGTACATCATACATGTACAGTTTTATATACATTAACAATATGCATGAGTGGAAGAGTTGAAGAGAAAGTTGAGGGGTGTTAAACAACACCAAATTATTACTATAAACCATATCACTCATAAGCATGTGCACTCTGCAAATTCTCAGCCACAAATAATCAAGGGACTTTAGGCATTAGGAATATGAAAAAGTCAATATAATATGCCTATAAAATGAATATAAATCAGTCACATAAGAATATGGACACAACAAACCTTGCTATCATTTCTGCTGTCAGATCAACTTCTGGTTTCGAGACATTTAATGTAAAATCATCACCTTTACTAACAATATAACTTGTTACTTTCCTGAAAAATACAACATTCATTTAAACTCCTGTTCAATAAGTTCTCATCCTGATTGAAGACAGGATTGAAAACAGGGCAAGATACAAAAGCTGATAACAAACAATTTTTCAAATGTCCCTAATTTGTCATAAATGTCCATCTTCATTGATCAGTTTTCTTCAGCATGATGAGCATACAAATATTATTAAAGAAAGATCCAAAATGAAACTCACTCCTCACTAATTAATTTTCTCTTTTTAAATTCAGCTATTTGTGCGTCAGTAATATTATCTAATTTTAAACTCTGTATTTCCTTCATACATTTCTCTACCTTATCTTCTATAGAGTCCACCTACAAAAATAGACACAGACACTTTCTTTTTAAATCCAGTAGTATTCATATATAAATAATATCCACCAAAACTGGCCAATGAGGCCATAAGAATGAGAAATGATGATCAAATAGTTATTATTAGGTACCATCTCGTTTCATGTTCTAGCACTACGATACTTTCTTTTTTTTTTTGATACTCTGTCTTCCATTCTATGCTTATCTATGCTTATCTGGTTTAAAAATTCACACCATTACTGACCTTTTTAAATACTTTAGGACCACCTTCAGCCTTTTTATCAACTTGAATCCAGCCAGCAGACATGGCCTTACTAAATCCCACTTTAGCATTTGGTACAGTTTTCTAAAACAAAATAATTGATAAAATATATTATCAGATCAAAAGATTACGAAGCAAGTTCATTAAGTATTCATTTGCTTGTTTCTGGAAATGTGTTTATCCTGTTTTTCTAATAAAATAATGTTTTAATCAAGAGAGATGTTATATTAGTCCTAAGCATACATAAACATGTAAACATCCAGACCTAAACATCTATTATAAATTGTTTCTGCTTCAGTTAGGAACATTAATTTATTTTTTCTTTTAAAGACATACATAATATACATGAAATAAGCAAGATAGAAAATCAATTTTCAAAAATTGAATTTAAGAAATTGGAAAGGGATTTTTAGGATATGCATGTGTATCAGAAACACTACCAGGTTCAATGGCACCATTCTGATTGCCAATGGAAGCAATAGGTGTTCTCAATGCACAGTTACAGACCGGAAAACCTCTTTTCATTCCCTTTAGAACTAAAACTCAACATACATACCATGATATCTGCCTGACGAATACCTTCAGCTGGTATACTATTATAAACACATGCTTCATGACTACCTTTTTCAGCCACCGATATACCTTCCTCTGTTAATTTCAATCTTTTTGATTGTTTCTGGTCTACTTTAATGATCTGTGAAAAGAAAAATTAATAAACTATTTCGTAAATTCGTTAAAATTCTAACATAATTAGATCAAATGAATTAAATCAAATTGGAAAATATTGACCAAAATAGTAAAACTAAATCAAAAAGGCAAAAAGTCTAGTTATTTCTCAAAATTTCATCATTCATGAACACTCACACTGAAAACTGAATTTGTAAATAAAGACATATTGATCAATGAAATATCAATTTCGTATGGAAAAATCATGATACATACGTTTCCAAGAGATTGTAAACTCTTGACAGCACCGACCAGCTTCTGGTGATCAATATTTTCAAGCTTGGCAAGGTCTTGCGTGTCGATTTCACCCTTTTCATTTACATTTTTCAACACGAGTTCACTGAAGTCAGCCATTTTCGTTGTCTCGGTTTACATGACCTAAATGTCATTTACAAACATTATGATTGATAAGTCTGGAAAAGCGAAATAATGTGACTGACCTTTCTTGCCTCTCCACTAGAGAGTATGGTACATGGGAAATAATTCTTATCTATCTAGACTACAAAAAATAATAATAATGCGGCTCTGATGAAAAATAATGGCAGACAAAATTAGGACTGCCTCACAATCAGTATTTCAGAGTCTAAATTAATGATATCGTTATATTTCAATCTGGTTCTCAGTTTTAGTAGTTCATTTGGACGGCCGATCTGGCTCAATTTCAACATTCTTTGCAAAAAATCATAAATGTAGTATATTACAGGCCCGATTAAATGCATCCGAAATTAGCAGATAAGAGGCATATCTACAGTTTTATCTCATTTATCTTAATATACTGATAATTAATGATAATGTACAGTATTGTTAATACGTCTAATGAACTAGAGAACTCCAAAATGAATCTACGTCTCTTGTTGATGTTTATTGGATTACTTGGACACTTACCGCTTAGTGGCAGCGAATCTACTAACTTGTACCTGAACGATTCAAATGCTTTGAAACTTGAGACAATCGGGGTTTTAACTCCAAGACTTGTGAACCTTCGCTTTATCAACAAGAACAGACTTTATATACAAAATAGATGGAATTTAACGAATTTGAAAAATAGAGTTCAACCCAATCATACCGAGGAGCGAGAACTTACGACGCAAAATGCTTCACAGAAAAAAAGATCTTGTATACCGCCTAAATTGGAACCAACTAAACCATTTTCAGTATTCTGGAATGTGCCGTCGTTTGTGTGTGAAAGCAGGACCCCCTTCAACTTTACTGGTTCTGGCATAACACATAATGCGAAAGATGCCTTTATCGGTGATGAAGATGCTATATTTTATAATCTTGGATTATTTCCTCATTTAGGAAATCCTAATGTAAATGGTGGTATACCACAGGTAGGTACCCGACTCTTTCAAGAGTAGCACGAGTCTTCAACACCATAACCCTTGATCCACCATTATGTCGATATTCTTACTATTTTTTTCTTATGTCGAAATATAAAAAATGGACACTGATCAGAAAAAATAATGAAAAATAAAATTTATGATCACCTACAATTTCCATTATTGCGACTAAACACCATACACCATTGCTCCTCTGGGTATAGTACTTGCCTCTCCGAACAGTCACGTCTGGCTATGGGTCTGATACTGCTTATGAAGACAGTCATTATTTTTTTCTTATATAAGATCGTTTAATAACCAATGATTATCCGATTGCTCTTAAATTCTACACATGCTCAGAGGTTGTTCTGGCTTCCAATAGTTTAAACTAGATTCGATTATTTTGGCATATCCACGATATCACATTTTATCATTTGGCAACAAAATTGGTTCGAAATCCAACAACAATTTACATTATTCATTAAGAACGCACAATTATGAAACTACACTGTTTTCAGCAGTCTCAAAATCGCACGCTTACTCATTATCTGAATGACTCTTTCAGTTAGGTGATCTGGCAAAGCATTTGATAATGGTAGAGAGTAACGTCTTAAAACTTTTACCAAACCCAATGTTCCATGGAGCAGGTATCATAGATATGGAATCATGGCGACCAATATGGGTCACAAATTTTAGCAGTCTTAGAAAATACCAAAGTGCGTCTATCAACTTGGTGAAGCAACAGCATCCATCCTGGACAAACAAAACACAAATCAATAGCGAAGCAGAGAAGCAGTTTGAAACGAGTGCAAGGTGAAAGGCATCTGATCCCAAATCTGGAGATGTGGCTCGGTCGAGATCGTACCTTTTGATGACAACGTCAAACATGATTCCCCAATGTCAGAGGGGCTGGTATCAAACTACCTTTACTTAATTCAAAGTATATGTGATTAGGTCGTTTTATTGAATACCATGCGCCTACAGGCCATTATTGGAAAGTTTATCTAATTTCCCCAAAAGATCCAAAAGTGAAAGCTCTCCGAAATGTATGTACGCACGTGTTGGCAGCAAGACATGATGAGCTCTGAGCTTTAGATTTTCAAACACCACATCAAACAAATAAGTGAATAACCCGATCCGAGAGGGACACGTAACACTTCTTGGCAAACACCTGATGGTACTTGTTGTGTTGTACTTCTATACTGATTTTGTCATTTTTTGTACGAAATTTTTGATTGACGGAAATGTCTTGCTTGTACGAATTTTTATTTTGTTTCAGAAGTTTTATGTTACGTTCCATAGAGAAAGTCAGACAGCTCAGACCCCAGGGATATTATGGTTACTATGGATATCCTAGATGTTGGGGAAGACCGACCGGTCTAGATAAAACCTGTCCAATTGGCATAACCTCTCAAATCAATGATAAGTAGGTTCTTTAATCTTGTAGCTCGCCCAGTCAAAATATGCCTTCTTTGTGATTGAGTTTGCTTAATCCAGATTGTCAATATATTTTCAAGGGTTTAGAAATTTGGGTTTTGGGTGCATATTTCGTTGATATATGATATGTCTCGCATGACATATTTTATAGGCTATGATGGTTGTTAAGTGCTAGTAATGCTCTATATCCACGTATATATTTTACAGGCTAGGATGGTTGTTTAGTGCTAGTAATGCTCTATATCCATGAATATATTTTACAGACTAGGATGGTTGTTTAGCGCTAATAATGCTCTATATCCAAGTATATATTTTACAGGTTAGGATGGTTGTTTAGTGCTAGTAATGCTCTATATCCACGAATATATTTTACAGGTTAGGATTGTTGTTTAGTGCCAGTAATGCTCTGTATCAAAGTATATGTTTTACAGGCTAGGATGGTTGTTTAGTGCTAGTAATGCTCTATATCCATGAATATATTTTACAGGCTAGGATGGTTGTTTAGTGCCAGTAATGCTTTATATCAAAGTATATGTTTTACAGGCTAGGATGGTTGTTTGATGCCAGTAATGCTCCATATCCACGTATATATTTTACAGGCTAGGATGGTTGTTTAGTGCCAGTAATGCTCTATATCCACGAATATATTTTAATCCAGTAGCTAATAGTCAGGACTCAATACATAATGATATTCGTCGTATCCTGAATGAAACAGCCAGGGTTCAAGCCAAGTTCTCAGGACTTGATGCACCAATTTTACCATACGCCGTATTTCAATCTGGTTTACATTTTTTCAATGAGGTATGCTATTTACAGTCTTAACTCAGCTTTTTCTCAATTATTGTGAGGAATTTCATAACACGTGATAAGTTACAGGGGCTTAAGTATGGGGTGTTTTCGACTGTTGGGCAAACCAATAGGAGCAACGAGTGGCTCAACTATCACAGGGACTGGTTGAACCAAGTCCACTGGTCCACATTTTAGGGGCGCCCCTACTCTCGACAAAATGCAGTAGCAATAATCTAAGAATGCTTTGAAATTTCTTCATTTCAATTTGCGCTGAAAATTCAGTTTCGATTTAGGTGCATCTTGACTACAGATCTATAGTTGGCTCATCTTAGAATCTGGATTTGATTCATGCCTTTGATAAGAGAAATATTGCAACTTTCGGAGTGGAAAAAATCTACATGAGTAGCTTTATCATTCTCTGTAATGCTTACCTCATTTTCTGGTGACAATTGGAGACTGAATTTAATTACGTTAAAATTTTGCTCCACCAATTGGTGATTAGCTTTCAGAAACCGAGTTAAAATTCAAGCTGATTAACACTGATTGGTGATAATTAGTCTAATCAGTCGGCACATTCAAAACCCCAGAGTTGCAGTTTGTTCGGAATTACTCGTATCTAAGTGAAGAAAAATCAGCTATTTTGTGCAAAAAATTCTTGATTTTGAAGTCGAATTTTTTATGAACGATTGCATTGGTATTCATTTGCATGTGTTGAAAAGATTAGAGTTTGAACACTTTTAGTTTTACAGATATCAAACAAAACGTCCTATTTGGCCTCTCTGATGTGCGCGAGTTGTTATTAGTAAGAGTTTTATAACAGTTAAGACTGAACATCACATAAATTGTACGGCTTGGGACCTGAGTAATCATAGTCTTGATTCTCAAGACTGAAATCTTCTTGCATTTGTCGATCAGGATTTTTAAAGGGGTCTAACCTTGGTTTTCCGGTCTTTGTGTATATCAACTTAATGCTTCTATTTGCACCATTACGATTTGACGTTTGTGGTTTCTGTGATTCCAAAAACACCTGATAAGATTACGACTTAATGAAGTTGTCTATAAACCACTTAACAATTTTGATTAATTTCAGACAGACCTTGATCTTGCCATACGAGAACCAGCTGATATGGGAGCTGCCGGCGTAGTCTTCTGGGGTAGCAGTTCCATGTTTCATATTCCAAACGAATGTGCCAAAATGAACGACTACATACAGCATGTTCTTGGACCATACATCATTAAAACGGAAAAGTTCTTTCAGAACTGTACTCAGGTGAACTGTAACGGACATGGTCGCTGTATCCGAAAGGATTACTTCCAGATGGCACAAGAGAATCTTCGGGATGGTGATCATTGTAAACTAAAAGAAGAAGAAATGAAGGAGATTGGAAATAACAAGAGCAATGCAAATGAATTTAAAGCATCCTATGCTTGCAGATGTTTTGATGGTTGGAAAGGTTCCAAATGTTTAACAAGCGTAAATTAGAAGTTTCTATGGATGTTTCTGAACAATTATATACAAATTATATCTTTCTATCGTTCTATCGAGCGTTAAAACCGAAATCAAACTTCCTTACATATCTTTTGTATTCATGATTGAGCAAAGTATATATACAGTACATTTACGTTATGTTACCCAAAAATAAAAAAAGTCGACATTTAACTACCGAGAAAATTACCGATCACCGCAGATTCTAAAACTATGTCATAACTCAAGAGAGAAATTTGGCCAAATAATGTCAAATAAAGGGATTGTAAAGAGGTTTTTTAATTTGTTCATGTGTATCAAGAACACTGATAGAATCGATTTGTACCATTCCAAATTTCAGTCAGACGTCTGTGTTTCTGGCCATTTCTCTAACACTAAGCGTTTTATGACGTCACTATCGCATCACCATTCAAATTCTGAGTACAGATGACAGCATCTGCGCTTAATAACGTCACTATCTCAAAAGTCCTTATTATACCAATAGCAGTAGCTTTTCGATAGTGAGGTTTTATATAGTGATATCATAAAACGTTTACTCTTACCGGAATTGCAAGAGCCACAGACGTCTGACTGAAAGTTTAAATGGTGCAAATTGATGTTATAAGTATACCTGAAACATATAAAAAGTTTAGAAAATCTCTTTACAATTCATTTAAAAAGCTTGAATCGCGATTTTGAAGTCGAAATTTGGGCGGGACATTAAATGTGGCACTTTAAGTTAAAGTGTTCAAAGACCATCATTGAATGGGAAGGAAGCCTCTAACCTAAATAGAGTGAAATTCCGATACCCCTTTTTATACTTCAAAAACATTCATTCACTACAGCAATCTGTTTACTTTAGTTTCAAACACAATAGTTCAAGTATTTATGCAGACATTTAACAGTCGGCAATGGTTTACCAATAACAATATAATTCGCCTTATTACTTTGTAATTGAACACCATTTTATTTCTGTACACCGGAGTTCGTAGTGCGTTTGTTAGCTTCCAGAACAATCGGTTGAAGAATGCTAATTTTGCATAAATGAAGTGTTTTCTATATGAACTTACGTTGTTTAAACTGGCATCCATCATATGATTTTAAATGATTTTTTTATCACTGATAATTAAGCATTGAAACAAATTGTAGAATCTGAACTTAGTTAGTTTCTGGTTCATTCAGTGAAGAATTGATTCATAAAATGGATTACAGATGGTAAAATATACGACTACTAGCAACTATAACGATATACTGACTGGTTCGTTGCAGATTCCGAACGATCAGGTATACGACCAGACCACAGTTTTGATAGAAGTAGAGCACGAGAAGCTGATGGAAACTGGACACAACTTCAATTTCAGTTAGTTTTCAGTCTCATAGCGACTTTGAGCAGCGATTGACCCCTCCACAGATGCCACCAATACAGCTAGTAATCGCTTAAAACCAAGTTATTGGTAAAATTCATAAATTGAGACCACATTTAGTGTTACCATTTCGTCCACAGCAACAATAGTGCCAATGGTTTCTATTGGAATGGGCAGAATTTAGCTAGAAAAGTGTTCCCTTTTTTCACTCTATAATCTGCTCAACTGACGAAAAGTTTTAACTAAGCCGAAACATCTGCCTCTGATATCTATTTTGACAGTTGACGGCTGGTGTACCAACAACCGTCAAAATAGATATCAGAGGCTGGGGGGAGGCAGATGCTTCGGATTTAGGCCTATACATTTTTAGGAAGTTTTAATACCACGTTAAAAAGTATATAATACTTCAGCACCAGACGAGATCTTTGAGTCAAGCTTCAACAAAAGGACTAAACAATGTGCCAATTTCAATTCAACGTTTGAAAACTGAATTCAAAGAAAGGTTCCCGCCAGAAAAGTAGCAGACACATATCAATTTAACAAAGTGTTTCTTAATTTTTTAAAAAAATGCCAATCAAAAGGTACTTGAGGTTAATTTAAGAACCAACACTTCTATTATATTCAATTACTTGACTTGACTGTACAAAGCAAATATAACTACATGTAACACCCTATATAATAACACTACCCACTGCTGCATTATATCAAACTTTTTAAAAGGCACATAGTCGTCTAAATTCTTGACCAGGTGAAAGTTTTCAATCTCAATCTCTTCGTAATTATCAGTTTGTAAAGCAAAAACTTTGACGATTAGATCTCTTTAATTCCAGCTATTCGTATCGTATGACTTACCTCAAATACCCAGCTTGTCTTCAATTAAAGAAAAACGTAACAGTAAAAACTTCGACTGTCAAAACCAATCACCGTTAGTATCTGAATGGAAGAAGATAGTTCTCGATACGTATTATATTATTGTACACTTACCAGACGTCGAAACCTCTTCATGAAAAGTGATTCGAATAGCTCTAAATCCCCGGTTCCAAACCTGGATGTTTTCACCCCCTGGGGTGTGGGACCAGGGGATCAGGGGTGTGACCAACTGGTGTAGGAGAAGAATTCATTTTGAATTAAGAAAGCAACTCACATCATCACATGCTGGAAATGTGGATGAAAAATTGTAGGGGTGTGATAGGTCCGTATGTTTGCTCCAGGGGTGTGAAGCTAAATAGGTTGGGGACCACTACTGTAAATGAACCCCATCAGCTAATGCAAAAATCATATCACTTAAGTTACATACTCGAATTTCTTTTCAAAGAAAAAAATCCAAGGTCTGATAAAAACTGACCTTTGTCACATATGCCGGATCGTTTTTTTTTTTTAATTGTAGAGCTACCTGATGTCAGAGTGTTCTACTCAAGCATGATACATATAGGCCTATAGTTGGAAATTATCCATTTGGGTTAGCAAAGAAATAGTAAGATAACCACATTCCATTAAATCTTTCTCTAAAGAATTATTTTTCCATTAGAATGTGTTTTTTTAAGTGGCTATACTGTTTACCACATCAGTCTAAACAATAATTTCAGAAATAAAGGAATTCAAAAAATATTATAAATTATCTTGGCATTGCATTTGGAAAAATTCTGACGTTTTACAGATAATTGCCTGAAACATGCCTCGTCTTTCTTAATTCTCTTAAGTACATAGAGCTTTCTAATATCATTCCTTTAACAAAGGTGACGTAGATCTTGGCTAAAGTGTAGATTCTAATCAAGTTTCACAAATTATTATATACAAAGCTTCCTTGCCAAACTTTTGACGCAAACATTTCTTGATGTACTCTGTTTCAAATATATCTAGCCTATTTAAATCTAAATGTTTCCATGTACAAAAGAAGTATCATTAAAGAAACATTAAGATTATTGAAGGCCCTACCAAAATTATGACGTGAACACATTGTACCACAGGAAACTACGAAGTAACACACACGAACGTAGTTCTCAGCCATTTTGAATCTCTATATCGACATAATAAGTCGATTTTTAAACCGGTTTACTATTTCAACCAAGCCTTCACATATATAGAAAAGGCTTCAAATGTGATTTGAAAGCTTAGTTGAAATATCAAAGCCTTTTTAAAATTTCGACTTATTAAGTCGAGTTGATATTCAAAATGGCGGTGAACTACGCTCGTGTGTGTTATTTCCATATTATTAAGAACCATACACTAGTTTCGTATGCACATTGTACGTTATGATTGTGTACACATTTATTATTATATATATCACTAACTTTGAGAATTTTAACTGTTTTACGGACGAATTTTGGAATTGCGAAACGAAAGTAGAATAATATGACAGCCTCTGTAGATTTCGCTATCCCACAATACGTAATCGGGCCCTACATTAAAAACTTTAATTAGTTGAAAATAACGTCTTAAGAACGTCACTTTCATAGAAAACCCGTTAGATTACAATAGGGAAATTTTTTCAGAAAAACCAATTGTAATCTTACTTAATTAGATTAGATTGATAAACAGTGATGTAAACATAAAATCAAATACGTTGAATTTTTCTAAAGTGTAAGGTATAATGCGCGTGTGGTCCAAGAAGTTGTTGCCTTAGTCATACCTGTCATATTCATACATAGATTTATCTAATCAGATTATGCATATATCAACAGTAATATTTCAAGAAGTTAAATATATTATATTAATCATGTTTTATTTATATTGAAATATAAGAAGTCTAAGTTTCTTTATGATATAATTAGATTGTTTAATAATATTTAACGCCCTCTCTTCCGTAATTTGTTATAAATAAACTATCAAAGGCTCCATTCTACATTCATTACAGCCATTCGGCAATCCTCGGTAGTTTCCGTTGAGCTTAATTTGTTGCAGAGCACTAACAGAACGTTCACGGTGGACCATTTGCCCAGTCGTTTTTTTCCCCAATTTAATTTAACTTAAAAAGCTCATATTTCATTAGCCCACATTCGCATGATTTTCTTTATAAAATAAGCTTTAATAGCAGACGACGTAGTAAACTTTGTTTCTTGTGATCATGATTTATGCCTGGAAATGCAGGATAGTTCCTACTTACTCGTTTTTACGCCCCTCTTAAGCTGTAAGTGTACTGATATACCTATTATCACGAAGAAATGTTGCTGAGTTAGTGTTCTACAGTTCACACGCAGTGGTGGCATCAGTGGGGGTCTGGGAGGATTTCTATGCTCCTATGCTCTTCCATAGAGAAGTGGCGACGCCATCGGGAAACAGGAGATGGGGCAAACAGGGGATGGATACTGGTTTCCACCCCTTTTTATTTTAACAAATTTTAAAATATGATTTTTATACGTGTTTGCTTCAAAATATGCGACAGAATGCACCTAATCAATACAATGTTTCGAACATTGTTACCAGGAGAACCCCCCCAGACGCTCAACGAGTTGCATCCATAGAGTTGCTGAATTTTAAATTCAGCCTCGACAGTTGCTCCCATTGAGTCAGTCTGTCCCCTATTTGTACCTACAGTAACGGAAATCTGGCGTCGCCACCACCACAGAGCTGCCTCATTTTGAAAATCAACCTCGACAGTTGACGACCCTCCCCCATAAATCACCTGTTGACATTTCA